GAATTGGGTTGAGGATGGGTGTGGATTTGGTGATTTGGAGTCGATTCGTTGAGGGTTTGGAGACTCCTCTTGGTGTCAGACTGATGTAATGCATATTCAAGCCTGCTAGCCAGTATGATCGGTTAGCCAGTATGATCTGATAATGTTGATAATCTATAAATTGCGAGAGCCTGAATGTGTTAAGTGTGGAGGAACTCACCAACTCCTATTTGCTCTTGAAGATGATGATGTTTGGTGGGAGGGTTTGGCATAGTGGAATTGGTTTGTTGAGGGGTTGGCTAATCATGAGGGTCTTGATATATGTCACGTCAGCGACACATCAAGTAAAAGTGTAGAAGAGTTTAGACGGAGGAAGGTTGAACTTGAAGGATTGGAGTTGATGTTGAACTTGAAGGATTGGAGTTGATTCGTTGAGGCATTTTGTCAAATAGGTTGTGGGTGTTTTGGTTAGGAGGAAATTCTTCGGGCCTAATTTGACCAGGGATCGGCAGATAGAACTAATTTGACTAGGGATAGGCAGATAAAGAATATTCATTGCCCTTTGGTCGGAAAAAGGAGAAAAGAAAATAATAAAGTCAGCAATTTTTTGGTGACGAGAACTTGTGCAAGTTGTTTGATAAGGAGGATGATGGTCATGTTTGTATGTTTCAAAAGTTATCCATGCGAGTGTACGTTAAAAATAACTGCTTGAAGAAAAGCAAACCTGTAGTTGTTTGTAGGAAAGGATAAAGTTACCTACAATTTTAACTTATTGGGCATTTTATTGAAAATGTCCACGTGAGCGTTCTCAATTATAATCGGAATTATGGCTTAGCAACGATTTTTTTTAATAGAAAATAAAGAGATTGGTGAATGATGTTGACTATTAGGTTCATGTTATGCTTTGCTCAATGATACTGTCAGCTACAAGTGCTATTTTGTATCGTCCTGAATAAATCATCTCTGCAAGTATTTTTGTTCCCCTCGCCTTTAAATAACATTTACGATCAACATATAGATATTAAGACGTAAATTAAGAACTTTTATGACTAAACCTAAACCTTGAAAGAAAAGTGGTATAGGAAATCTATTTCCTCTGACACATTCTTTTCCCTTGTTTGGATTACCCTTGAAAGCATCTTGCAACCTAGTGGAAGGGTAACATAGCATCCTCCTATTGGTTGATGTGACCTATATTTAAAGAAACTCATTTAATGGGTTTTTGTATGGAAATGGGATGAAACTATCATTAAAATTTTTCTCTCCCAAATTTCCTTTTCTTTGGTTTCCTAGAAACCAACAAAACATGCCCTAACTGTTTGAAGTTGTGTTATAGTTTAGAAGATATCTAATTTACTGAAATCAATGAACACAAGAAACATGAATCTCAATTAACCAAAATTATGGTAAGCAAGCCTGAATCTTTGTGAAACAGACTCTTGATATCATATTTCAGAACAAATGATAGTTGAGCGATAATAGTTTTTTTAAGGAAAGGAAACAGTGTGAGCTACCCTGTTCATATATGCATTAAAAGGAAAATAGGGAATATACAAAAACTGAGAGTATCACTGCACTGTCAGCAATATGAAAACAAAACCAAAAGAAAAACCATCACAGAAGAAAAAACAAACCAAACACAAGAGGAGAGAAAGTGAAAACAGAAGTGGAGATTGTCTGAAGCACTGTAGAAACTCTTAGATTGGTCCGCCAAGAAATTATCTCCGACTGCATCATGCGCACCTGTTTTTACAATATCTTCCAGTCCCAAGTGGATGACAGCCTTGTGGAGTCTACTGGAAGCTCTATTGGCTGGTGTTCCTGTCCAGAACAGAATGTATCTTGCTACATTAGAAGCTAGTTGATGATTGTTGACTTGAATATCATTAAAAATGAGGTTACTGCGGTTGTTCCATATCCACCAACAAAAACAAGGGAGCATGACTTTTCAAAAAACTTTAAGGTTGTAACTGAAACAAGTATTGTTTTTTATAGAGATGAAGAGATCCAGATTCTGAGGCCACTGGTCTATAGGCACTTGAGGGAGAAGAATAGTCCACACTGATGATGAAAATGGACAACTGATGAACAGATGATCATGGGACTCAATGCTTTGATTGCATAGGGGACAACTAGTATCTCCGATCCATCCTTTATTAGCTAAGTTCTCTCTAGTTTGCAGCTTTCGTTTACTGAGGATCCAAAAAAAGACCTTGACTTTAAGGGGGATAGGAGATTTCCAAATGAAGTTGTAGAGAGGGGAGGTCATGCTTCCGAAGTTGAGCAATAATAGTTAATGGAGGAGATAACCCAAAATATAACTGAATGGAAGAAAAGGATTCTTCCGGCTGACCCCAAAAAATTGGGATAAAAGATTTGTTGTTGTTATTTATTCAATGGTTGAGCAACTAAAAAGTTACATATGGCAATTATATACCATATTCTGACCAGTTGCCCTCAACACTTAATAAATAGTGCTTGTTAACTTACCACCATCCTCTCCAATGAAAATTATAAGCATTTTGCATCAGTCAGTAACAGATGGTACCCAGTCAAGAGTTTGGCCTGCAAACAAAGGAATTATCTCTCCTGATGCAAATTTATATGAGTCTGGCACCCTCCATTGGGCTCCGTCTCAATACAATCTTTGAATTGTTTCTTGGGAGACCATAAAAATCTGGACCATTGAAGCTTGCAAATGCCTCTAGTTTGTCGAGCGCACCAGCCTGAAAAAAAAAAAAACAGATGGTGTTGATCATCGAACATACTTCAATAAAAAAAAAGTAACTCAGCTATGTGATATGATGTAATTATCCAAAGATCTTTACATGCAATTCATTATTTTGCTGTTGCCAACTTTAGTAACTCAGACTTTGAGGCAAAAGACTTGATGAGACAAATTGGAAATCACTGTAAGATTGTCTTATGAGTTTATCAATTTTGATATGTGCATTGTTTGACATTAGAGCTCTTTTTTTGGCATTTTTAATAAAATTAAAAATATAAAAGGCCTTTATGCAAAAGTCTATATCATGACCATAAAAAAAGCAAATCTCCAGAAGAGAGCAATATTTTGCTAGATCAGACTAAAGATGTAGCCATTAGTTTTGAAGACACTTAGCCTAGTCTCTATCTTCCATGTCAGGAGGACTCGTTTTTAGGCTACTACTTTGTATGTCTTTAAGATTCCACATGCATATTTGATCAGATATTTTGGCTCCAGAAGCGACCTGGTTTATAAATTTGTCAATGCAATCACTAATCTCCTACCATTACAGTTACACTATATCAAATGAGAGAACGGCTTATGATGAAGATGAAGATTAGTTTCACACTTGGAACAATTAGAAGAGGTTTTCGATAGGAAGGATGATGAAGCAGAGGGTCGAGATAATTAGAAATGCTTACTGTAGTAATATGGCATGGTTTAAATGACGTATGATGACAACATTCATAGAGCCAAGACCATATCAATGTGATATCGGTTGTAAAATCTAGTGATAATCTCTTATGTCACATTGGAGATGATCTTAATATTGGACACAGAAACATACTGAAATTCTACATGAAGGGACATCTGAGTTTGACAAACATGGGTCTGATTAAGGAACTATATTAGTTATTTGCCTACAAAAGCTTGAATATAAAGCACACAGAGTATAACCTCATGTGCATGTTCAGGTATCTTATTGTTTGTGTGTGCCACTGTTTTCTCTTTTTTTTTTCTTTTTTTCTTTTTTTTTGGGGGGGGGGGGGGTATGTGTGTTTTGCGTCTGAGGGAGGGGTACCTGTTCAAAGACCTTGGCATACAATGACAGTGCCACAGGAGCACTGTATATGCCTGCACATCCGCATGAACATTCTTTTTGTTGCCTCTCATGAGGAGCACTATCAGTCCCAAGAAAAAACCGTTTGCTTCCGCTTGTCACAGCTGCTACAATAGCTTGCCCTTTAAAGAAGAAATAATTAGTAAACAAAGGAGGGCTCATGTGTATATGATCTTGGCAACATAATTACAACATTATATGAAAAAGTACATTACATTTAATTACTCTTATAACACAACTGAACAAATAGTATGTGTCATGGGAATTCCAACTTGAATTTGTCTAGTAAATCCACTACAATTACTATTTAACACTAACTTCACAGAAATGGTATTAGCCCTTGACAATGTCACTAGTTGAAAGCTTTAGCGGCTCTACATGCTCATCTTTATAATGACAAGTATCGCTAGGGGGAAACAAATCCAAGATCCCTGTGCATTTTAAAGTTAATCAATATTCAAAACCACATGGCACCTTCAACTTTATTAGCTTTACATTATGACATTTATATCTAATAGAGAAAGCATATTGTGACCCTATGTTGGCATCCAAATGTTACCCTAAAGCACACACAAGTAGATAAAAAATATTACATTAAAATCGCCAAATAAAACATCATTAATTTGCAAAGTAATGATTAGCATCATACTGTGTTTTTCTCTTTTCAGAACTGGAAGGCAGTAATTGTGAGGCTGCAGTCCACCTTGAAACAAAGAGTTTCTATTGAGAAGAAGATGCTGAGGCGTAACTGTTGCAGCAATGGAACCTAAATAACAAGAGGATTTCACCCTTAAAGGAAATGACCAAAGTGAAATAAAAAAAATGCGAAGAAATAAAAACTTAATTCTGAAAGGTACCTTCAGGACATGATTCAACAAACTTGATAGCATCCAAAGTAGTAATATGCTCCATTACAATTTTGAGTCCAGGAAGCTTTTGGACAAGTGGCGCTAAAATGGCCTCAATGAAGACTTTCTCTCTGTCAAATGTGTCAACATTTGGATCTGTAACTTCACCATGAACCTGATAATCTCATTGGAAAAGAAGTCTCGAGTCTAAGATACTAATTAAAAAGCATACCAAGACACAACGAAACTGAAGGAATATGGCAATGACAGAACTAGTAATCGTGTATTCATGAGAGTGTCCTAATATATCTTAATAAGCATCCTAGCCTTTCAAT